GTTGAGCCAAACCTTCGAGGGGCTACTGTTGGGGGAAGGCCCTCAGCCTTGAATGCCTGTTTTACGAGAGCGGCCCCCGGCTTAGTGTGAAATTTATAGGGTCGTTCTGGTACCCCATCTTCCCGAGATTAACATTTTTGGGCACGTTTCAGTTTGGCACCTGATGGTATGGGCATTTGCAACGGGCCCCTAGGACATGCTTTGCGCAGCATGGGAACCATAGGGGTCGTTCCTGCAAAGGGAAACAAGCTTTGCCATGTAGGTCGAAGACTCGATGAAGTCAGTCAACTGGTGCTTTTCTTTGTTTTTGTTTCCTCTTTTTAGGGAAAAAAATCGCATTCCACGAAATTTATCAGAAAACTGTAAGGTCTGAGTTTTGTATAATGAGAACCCATTTTCTTAGAACAGGAGAAATGTATCGTGATTTTATAAACCGGATTCTGTGCTCCAGTATGGTCTACTCCTGCCGTCCCAAAATAAGTGGCATTCTCACTTTCCGATAAATCAAACGCTTTTAACTTTAAAGAAAATCATTAATATTTATGATGCATAATAAGTATCATTCAAATGTTGCTAATATTTTCTATAAATCTAGTCAGACTTAAGAAAGTTCAATTAGTACAAAACCCAAAACGACACTTATTTTGGGGCGGAGAAGTACAATCTTAGATTCTATAAGTAGATAAATTTAGTACTCTCAAAATCCATTATCTTTACTCACTCCATTTATTTCCTAACAAAACCTAGTACTCTGTAATTTCAATCCAGCTAGAAAAAATTAATTAACTGATGAAGCAATGGAAATAGTCAGACAACAGCCAATATACATACGAAGGGCAAGACGACTCGAAGGTCACCACAAGGCAACCTGCACCAACAATCAAGAACTCAAGGTCGTGTCAACTGGAGTCACATTCAGTACTACTTTATCAGGATCGGTCATTGCTGTTCTGTGAACTCTTATCTACACACTGCACATCCAGCAATTGTTGTGATAATTGAACAACAAACACACAAAATGGGAACTGAACTGATATTTGATACATCATAACTATACATAATTATATCCATATTTGTTGCAGTTGTCAGGTCTCATGCAACATACAACAGGGCAACATGCATCGCTTCTTTCTACAACAGGATGCTCGGATCAGTCACATGTGCAATCGCATCCGTGAAGGCAAGTGTTCTGTACATCAAGGTGGGGCAACTCAGCAGTTGACCCAAGGAATGACAAAGCAGACAGCAGACAAGCACTGGAGACGAAGCCACTGTACACTGTATGCAGAGATAAGACGGCCTCAATCCTTGACATCTGCAACACCTTCAGAAGCTATCTGAAACCTCGCTTCAGCTTCAGCCAGGCAGGGAGAGCTTATTACTTTACAAATCCGCTCCTCCCCTCTTCCCTTGCGATGAGCGAGCCAGATGGAGAGTTGGAGGCAGTATCGACATTTTAATAAATGATATGGATAGGAACAGAACAGAACCTGGGTCTTGGAGATAACCAGTTAGTGCGTGATAACTGGTATAATGTACAGTACCTTGTTGTGGAAGCATGAGCCATGATGTTACCACCAATGGGCTTGATCTGTGGTCCGGCAAACATAGTAGAGCCATCCACTTGTGCTACTACTTGATTGGTGATAACCACAGCAACTCCAAACTGCCATGATCAATCAAATCAAATTAAGAAAAGCAAAAAATCATGAAGGGATATCCAGTGTCAACAGCATTTTCATTTGACTGAAAGCTAAGACAAAAACCATAAAGAGAAGACTTGGTGTTCTTGAAGACAAAAAAAAATAATAGCAATTTTATACCAACCTCATCTGCTAACTTCTGAAGGCTTCTCAGGAACTTAGCCATATGCATTTGCCTAGCTGATAGCTCTCCTCTTCCTGAGAAATCAGTTCTGTACAGAGCTGTGGCACTGTCAACAACCATTAGAGCAAACCTGCAAATGTAGATATTCAGATTAGAAATTCTGACCAAGCTTCCTCCATAATCACTAGTCTTCATAACAAATATATACTGATAATCAAAGAACACAGACATTGGCAGAATAAGCAGTTGCAGTGACAAATTTAGCTGGATTCTGCATTTCCTAATGTGATGTGATCGTGAAGCAGCACATCATGTATTCATGTTAGACTAAGTAGCAAACACTGCATTGGTATATCCCTACAGACAAACCAGGGCATACAATTAATTACCTGTACGTAATGCAAGGTTTGATATGATAAACATACCTCAGCTGATTAACCATTTTATGTTTTAGCTAGTTAGCTCATATGAATCGCAACATGTCATGAATAAATTTGGGATATTCCACATAGAGTGAAAACGGACAATACTAATGTTATAAATAGTAGTGAAGTCTAGTTCAATATGAGAATTGCATTTGTATTTTAATGTCACATGGAACCGTTATGTGGGTCCAAAGGATCAGTACTTTAACTAAGGCATGATCCCTTTGATTCATAAGCAAAAGATAACCAAATCAATTTCAATTTATTTACCTAGTGCACAACTGATAGAAAATTAGAAAGTACAGCATGCTTATGTGCTCAAAGTAACATATAGTTCACATGTAGACTCAAAGCAATAAGTTGGACTTGCCTTGTCTCTATCATCATGGAAGCTGCCTCCAGCAGAAGTCTGGATTGATGATCTGTGTTATAAGCTCTGGCATAAGCCACATTCGCCAGCACATCAGCACCGTTCAGCCCAAACCTAGATTCCAGTATGAGCATTTAGCGATCAAATTTATGTTATGATCATTAAAAAAAACTGCAGCTAAGGTATCACCTGTCAGCTATCTGCAGGAGCCTTTGTGGTCTGAACGTACCCTCTGCATCAATGTACAGAGACTTTCCTTCACCACCACCTTGGTCCAATGGAAGCTGCAATGTAAATTGTTTACATATTTTACACCAATAAAACAAAAATGGGAAAAGCCAAGAAGGGGTTGATAGACAAAATCTCACCTGACATGTAACACAAAGGGTGTGACACAATTGAGTCTTTCCAGAGCGAAACTCAACATATATCTCTGTGATAGATCCTGTTTCTATCCCACCTGTTGCAGGTATGTCATCAGTCATAACAGAACGCTAAATCACTGTAACTAGTATAAGTTCTGCAGGAAAAGTAAGATCATGGAATCTACAAGCTCATTACCCTCCAAGATCTTATCAAGCTCTCTTGATCCAGTTGTAACTTGAATAATCTCCAGCCGCTGCGCATGTAGTTGGCTGGCACTTGTAAATCCCAGTGGAACTATCTTGGATGCTGCAAAAGGTTTGTAGACAGTTATGAGTTCAACAGTGCCCAACACAACTTCCCTACAACATAGCCTCAATACAATTTCAATACATATACAGTCCCATATTACTTGCCTGCTTCAATTATCTTGTCAACTTTAGCTTCACTTATTCCTTTGATCTGCAAAAGATCTTTCCTTGGAGTGTAAGCCACAGCCTCCACAGTGTGCAGACCAGAATCTTTCAGATTTTTCACATCCAATGCAGCTATTCCAGAAGCCTAGACCACAAATGACACAAATTTAATGTTAACAGAGCAATGCGCCCTTTTTATGTTTCAAGAAACTAGTTACAGTTAGTCTGCTACCTAAATGGCACTGAAACAAGGGAATAGATACAATCTACAAAAAGCAATCATAAGAGCCTTTGCTAATGTATATTGACTACAACTGAAGAACACCATGTCCTTAGGCAATGAACTGCAATTGTGCCATTTATTAACTAACAGGTCAATATAGTTCAGGCAACAAATTCCTCATTTTCTGAAGGTGTTTGCACAGGAAACAATTTCAGGCCAATATGGTTCAGGCAACAATGAACTGAAATAATGTCAGACTCATCTGAAATGATGTATGCACAGGAAAATCAATTAACAGAAGAGCAATTCTCACAAGAAACAGGATGGTGACTTCATGCTTCATTTCTCAAGCAGATTTCAGAAGCAACTACCCATGTCCCATGAATCCACTCGAGGGCCTAGTTACGATTCCAGTTGAAAGCACATCATCTCAGTACAGTAATGAATGTACTAAACATTGATGACACTGTTTATTACTGAACATTGTGCAATCCGTGGTAGAAAGGACCAAACAAACCACAATAAACGCTCAAGCATGACCACCATTCATGTGAAGTGGCGAATTATCAAGAACCTAGGTTTTCGCAACCAATAATCTGCCGAGACCATGTCAATTCAATCACGCATGAACCGGAAATTCCGGAATCTCTCACAATCTTCGCGTCATTCACGGAGAGAGGAGAGTCGATCAATCGAGAACCTAGTTTCTCGCAGTCAATAAACCGCGGCAACAGCTGGGGAAAACCAATGCCGATTCATCCGCCCACGCACCGAAACATTCAAGAAACGCTTGCCCTTGGGTCCACCCATTTCTTCGGCCAAGAAAGCAGGCCCACACCCAAAGAATCAGAACCCGCGACGAAGCCCACCTCCATTACTTACTCGCGCGGCTGGAGCCTCAAGAAAGCCTCGACCTCGGAAACGCCGCCCGTTCCGGGGCGAGGGGAGCAAGAACCGGACACAAGAAGCCGTGTAGGGTTTGAGCGGGGGCCGAGGGACCTGGATCCACACCTGGAGCTGCTCGATGGGGAATGGCCGGTGCTCCACCTCCTCCTGCTCCGCTCCCGCCGCCGAGGCCGAGGCCGAGGCCGCCGCCTTCTGCTGCTGCTGCGCCGCTGACATGGCCTTCTCCTTCTCTCACCTCCGCGGCTCTGTTTGTTTGTTCGAAGAGAATTGGAGGGCGGCAATGCAGAGCCTGCGAGGATTTACTGGACTTCACATGGGCCGCCATATAATGGGCCAACCAGTGGCAAGGCACAGTAAGATGACCATGGGCTGGACGGCAATCCAATCTCTGTTTCAGTTCTTTCCGAGCAGAAACGAAGCCCAGCCCAGAGGCTGGGAGGCGTCCGGTCCTGCGCGGGCGGCCCATATACATGGCGGACCGCGCCCTGCCCCGCACCGCCGCCCTCGCCTGTGTTCTTCGCTTCAACTTTCTCGGCAAGCAGAAGAGAAGAGAAGAAAGGGAGAGAGGCGCCGAGGTCCTGCTCGATCCAGCATCCGCCGTCACCGGAGTCGCCGACAGGATGTTTCTCACGAGGTGCCTGGCCGGTTTCAGATCCCTCTGTCCTTTAACCCTCTGGATTCAATCGTGCGCCGGCGGCGCGTCGTGCTGACGCGGGGTGCATTATCGGTTTTGGGTCTTTGCAGGACGGAGTACGACCGCGGGTGAACACCTTCTCGCCGGAGGGGCGGCTGTTCCAGGTCGAGTACGCCATCGAGGCCATCAAGGTGAGATCCCCTCTCTCGTTGCTGTCTCCTTTCGTAGCGGTCTAGCGGAAGGGCGGCTTTCTGTATCCGATCAAATCTGAACAGTGGGAACGCCGAGATGTGGAGTGCCTGTGCGGGCTGGTGGGGACTTTTGTGAGGACGAGGCTAGATTTGTGGAGTTGGCTGTTGTCGCGTGAGCTCAAATCTGAAAAGGGGGCAGTTGGGGTTAACAGAATTGCTGGAATTTGTGAGTTGAGGGTGTTATACGATGAAGTCTGGAGTATGGCTCACTCGATCTTACGGTTGAGGTTTGGGATTGTGGAAGGTTTTTGGTTCCGTGCCTAGATAGTTTATTACCGTGCAATTTCAGCTTGGCATGCTCTATTTTCGTCAATAGCACCGGATTGTCATTGCATTACTAACTAGAAAAGGTAGCTCAAGGACAAGCACTTGCACTCAAGTACACACGCGAACCCGTACTGAATTGTGTGCAATTTGCCAGTCCTTTACTTGTGAGATTTATGTGGGTTTTGTGTGATGAAGTGATGCTTATGTTGCTGTTTTCTTTGCTCTTGCAGTTGGGATCCACTGCGATCGGGTTGAAGACAAAGGATGGCGTTGTCCTTGCCGTTGAGAAACGTGTGACCTCTCCGCTGCTGGTACTTACTGAGTTACTTTTACCTTCCTCTTAGCCGGTATTAGTGCTTGATTGTATGGTGGCAAACATTGGGATGTTAAATTGGGAACATTGCTTGCTCACCGAACTTACTTTTATACGAATATATCCTCTTATTTGGTCTATGATTGAATTCTCATGACTTCTTTTACATGGTTTACTATCTTTAGGTAGCTTCTCTTTCACAAAGTTGTGCAGCACCTCATTCTACTGCATTTTGTTGTAACATTTTAACCTCCAGCTGATGCAATCTTAGAGTTTTGAGCTCAACTTCATGCAATTTTGCACTATGATAACAGGAATGGTTTTCATGTTATAGGTTGTTTCATGTTAATAAATTCTTAATGAATTCAGTGTTCCTTTGCTCTTTTATGTTATAGGAACCTAGCAGTGTGGAGAAAATCATGGAAATTGATGAGCACATAGGCTGTGCCATGAGTGGACTTATTGCTGATGCTAGAACACTAGTTGAGCACGCCTTTCGTGTTGAGACCCAGGTACATTCCAGTGTAATATACATATTATTTACATGTTTTGAGCTTTATCTGTTAAATCTGACTTGACTTGTTATAACAACCAGAATCATAGGTTCTCATATGGGGAGCCAATGACCAGAGAATCTTCTACACAAGCTATCTGTGACCTGGCTCTGCGCTTTGGCGAAGGTGATGAAGAGTCAATGGTTAGCCTCATTTATGTTACATTAACCTCCAGAACACAAGCAAGATTAATTATCTGCAGACTACATTTCATTCCTTCAACTTCAAAATATAAGATGGATTTACACCAATATCTTTATTTTCAAATGTTCTGACTGGAGGAAATTGAATCCAGTACGATATTTAGGTGTTCTTATCACTGGTCAGCCCTACTCCCATAATGAATATGAAAAGAGATAATAGACACTAATGACCTTTTATGAAACGATGAGTATTTGTTATATACCTATCTTGCCTGCATTGGCTCTTTCATGTGTAAATATTATCTTATCTGGGCCTAATGGTGAAGATGGAACTATGTATTGTTTTTGTTAAGGTTCAGTTAGAGTTACAAACTGAAAACTTTCCCCATTTGGCAACCATTTTGATAGGGCCAACCCACTTCTAGTTTTCAGTTTTCACAGCATTTAAACAGCCACAGTATCCTGCAACACACATCTACTTTTATATTTCCATCCCAATAGCTCGTCGAGGGGTATGCTAAGTTGTAATCACGTCATGTATTGTGTAGTGGGCGTTCTGATGTACTTATTTGTTTGTACAGTCACGGCCATTTGGAGTCTCCCTCCTAATTGCTGGACATGATGAGAATGGACCTAGCTTGTAAGTGCTGATCCATTTAGCTCACTGAACTGGATTTTATTTAATTGCAGTCTTCAGAATCCATGTTTTTCTTAAACTGTGGAGATTTACTTCTTTTTCTTATGCTAAATCATTGTGCTATAACGCATTGAAATTGCTTTTTTGTTGCCTTTTTTTTAGACTTTAGGCTATCATGGTAATGTGGGTTGCTTTACTTCTGTTTTCTTCTGTAAAATCATTTTAGTATCATCATATCATGCATCACATTTGCTTTTTGTTGGATCTTTTTAGATCGTCATGGTAAACGCCTTTTTTAGTGGATGTCTTTTTGCTGCAGAGTGTGGGCTTACCATTTGTTTGACTCACATGAACTATGGTTGTCTACTAGGTGGTTTTGTTCTACTTAGGTCATTATGTGTCCTTGACAGAAATTAAAGTAAAATTCCTGTAAAATTAGAAAAAACAGGAAGACATGGAACTTGTGACCAAGATTGTTCCAATGGTTATCTACATCATGCATTGAACTAAGTTATTCGCTTATAGTTGAGCTACCTTTCCATTATGTACATATGTGGACAAGGTCTTTACTTATAACAAGCATAAGTGATATATAAAAGGTCAACTTTGAGCCTAAGTAATAATTTCGTTGGGGTTTTATGTGCTCATGGAAGGGGGCCTGGTGCAAGCGGTAGAGTCTTACACTGCTTTGTGACCGGAAGGTCCGGGTTCGAAGTCATGGTCTCCTCAAGATTGCACTGCGAGGTAAGGCTTGCCACTAACACCTTTCCTGCACTCCGCACAAAGCGGGAGCTCTCTGCACTGGTACGCCTTTTATGTGCTCATGCTTTATATTTCATGATTTGATCCATATGTATATAGTTTTTAAGTAGAAAGGGTATTCTTTCCCTGCTTCCCAATAAGTCTAGGGGGATTTTCTTCATTTATCACTGGAAGTTTAGCCAATTCCAGGACATAAGTTTATTCGGTATACATGTTGGCTGAGGCATATATTTTAGTTAGTGGAATATAGCGGAGACCAGGCACTTATAACAGGCCCCTCTCAGTATATGTTGCTCATTTTGCAATCATGGCATCATTTTTTGGGGTTCAAGCAGCCTCTCCACAGATTTTATGGGGGAAGGCTTGCCTCGGTTTTTCCTTCCCTGCACCCCACTCATGTGGGAGCCTCCTTCTTGGTCTGCCCCTTTTTTTTTGCAATCATGGCATCCTTATATGTCTCTATGTTGTGAGGCAAATCTTTTTGTCATAATCAATTTACACAAGGCCACTGGACTTAATTTCTCATGGTTCACCATATGTGTGCTGCAGATACTACACGGACCCATCTGGAACCTTCTGGCAATGCAATGCAAAGGCAATTGGATCAGGTTCTGAAGGAGCTGACAGCTCCTTGCAGGAGCAGTACAACAAGGTATGGTTCAAAATAAATGCTAAGCTAATCAACAAATCGGACAGTTCCAAAGAGAGGTGCTGCCTGTGAACCCTAGTTATAAGGAATTATCTACCAAAGCACATTATAGTCCTCCTTTATGGCGGAAAAAAATGTCGTAGAGCAGTAGATTAATTGCAATGCTGCTTAGAATATTTGAATATGCTACTCACACAGAATGACATCACAAGAATTTGCTCCACAAGGATGTAAAAATGGGAGGATAATAGTCCTCCTTTATGGCTGTAAAAAAAAAATGTAGAAGTGCTTGCATACTGCAATGTCGTAGAACAGATCCATAAAAAATAGTGTCGGCTGTTACTCATGTGGAAGAAAATCGAGAGTAATGCCTTGCTGATATTGCAGGAACTGACCCTCCAGGAGGCGGAGACCATAGCCCTTTCTATCCTGAAGCAGGTTATGGAAGAGAAGGTATGGCATGTCAAACTACTCCATATTCCATCGCTCAGCTCTGTTGAACCATTCATCTAAATGTGAATTTATGGTCTTGTTCTAAACAGGTGACCCCAAACAATGTCGATATCGCCAAGGTTGCCCCCAAGTACCACCTCTACACCCCTGCCGAGGTCGAAGCTGTCATCGCGAGGCTGTAAAACAACTTCTGAGTTCTTGATTTCCCGTCAACAATCACGGTCGTTGTATGAAGCATGGACATTTTGATGTGGGCCTATCAGCCTGCTAGTGTGTTGCCATGTGTTGTCACCACGCTCTGTCAACTCCACAAGGGCAGTTCATGTTAAGACTAATCGGCTGCCCGGCCAGTTCAGTGATTTAAGTAGCATTGAGAACTTTGTACTGCCAGAAAGAATGTGTACTTCTTTTTACGAATTTGACTTCAGTTTCTTCCAGCCAGTTCGTGACGCGTTGACTGGTTTTGCAACCTGCAATTTCCAGTGGTGTGTGAATTACTGCGGTGGTGGTGGCCATATCTGGTGCCTTTCACACGCAGGCTATTTTTGGTTTTCTGCTGGTGACCAAGACAGTTTGGTCTGCCCAGAAATTTTTTATCCATTTGGTTGAAGGCTAGAAATTGGCATGACCAAACAAATTTAGCATGTGACAAAGGGCATGTTCTGAAATGTTAAATCTAAAACAATAATTAATAAGTTTAATGCGAACATGACGGTTTACTAGGCATAGCTCAACACTAGAACCAATGTAGTCTGCACTCATGTCATAAAAACAGATGAAATATCTTATCACGTCTATATGAGCATCAAGACACAAATTATATGGACTCATGCAATTAATTTCTTTGTAGATAAAAAAAGGAATAGTAAAAAGAAGCCATGAATTTCCCCTCGCTTCGATTATGTGTCAATAGAGAAGTTATTTTTTTAAATATTTTTAGCCATATTGGATTTCCTTAGCCCAAAATAGGTGCCCGGTCCTAGCGTTAAGCCTATGAGCCCAATGTTCTGTGTAGGGAACGCCAAAATCTCATCAAGTAGACTCAAAGGAATTAAATATGTGTACCCATGGCACATTGTTGTTGGAAAAAAGAATATGAAGGAGTGTGTTGTTGTGGAACTTCAAGTTTAGATCTTGTAGTTTTTGATAGAAAAATCAGTGATGACCCCCCATCTTAGTCTCTTTTTTCCTTGAGTTTTTTCAGCATTGCTTAAGAAGGTTTACATTAATGATCATTGTCTTTCTTCTTGAATGGATCTATGCCTTTGAGCCCTAACTAATGTTTCAGACAGCCAGGAGGTTGGCCATGGCCCTCTTCATCTATATATTGAAGGGTAGACTCATCTTGTAGCTTGTGGAAGCAACAAAAATTGCTTAAAATTTGTCATTCTCCATTCTATATGGATACAAGTTAACTTTGATGTTTGTAAAAGCTAGATGTATATCTATTTGAATCAGGAGCTAGAGTTCAACATATTCTCCCTCCACTATGGTTTATTACATGCTCTAGCTTTTCTCTAAGTTAATTTTCCCTAACTTTGACATACTTCCTAGAAAATATGTCCAAAATTTTGAACATCAAGTTGTTTCATTTAATTATTTATGACATGTATTGGTAGTGCTTTTTTGTCGTCAAAGTTTATTTAAAACTTTGTCAAAGTTATACAAGATTGGTTTTAGACTATACTAAAGTAAATTGTAATCAAGAACTAAAGGAGTGTGTGGCAATTGCCATGTTTAGCTATAAGCATTCTAATTTTGTAAATCATTTGTGTGTGCATGCATACATACATCTTGGATTTCATTTAGTCTCGATATTGCAGCATTTTTTCATTCATTGCTAAATAACTTCTCACCTAACTACCTGTGCATGCTTTAACCATGACTACAATACTACAACAAAATCCGTTGATAAAGGCTTTGATACACATGAACAAGTCATAACTTTACATACTCATCATGTTTATAAAGTGGAACATTTATGATGTGGCTAAGGCTATAACATGTGTAAAGGTGAAGTGATCATGCATGTCATTCCTCGTGTATCAAAAGAATTCCAACATAAATAAGCACTTTTTTTCTTGTACGTAGTGGAAACAGATCTTTCCTACACGACCATATAATCCAATCAAATTCAGAACTAAATGACAAAATCGACTAGGTGCCATGTCATCTATAGCTTATCTGTTTTTTGGCAAAAGCCAAAATCTAAATAGATATACATGAGCTCTCGCTGGTATAAATAGGCTCCAAATCAGTAGTGAATACATCGCCCATAGCATTGAGAGCAATCAGAAACATACCAAGTGAAACACACTAGCAACGTCCTTGCAACAATGGCTACCAAGATATGTGCCCTACTTGTGCTCCTTGCTCTTCCAGTGAGCTCTACAACTACGATCATTATTCGCAAAGGCTCACTTGCTCAAAATGCTATTATTCCACAATTCCTCCCACCAATTACTGCTATGGGGTTTGAAAACTCAGCTGTGCAGGCCTATAGGCTACAGCAGGCGTTTGCCGCGAGCATCTTACAACAACCAATTACCCAATTGCAACAACAATCCTCAGCCCATCTAACCATAGCACCATCGCGGAATAAGAATAAACGTTAGCAGTTCTCGCCAAGACTCAAATCAACTAGTATGGCGAATCTGCCGCCTTACTTGCAATAAAGAATCGCTTGCATCGAACTCCACTAGTTGTGGCGACAACTGCATACCAACAACAACAACAACAACAACAACAACAACAACAACAACAACAACAACAACAACAACAACAGATTGCAATGGGGTTCGCCAAAGACTTTCAATTAACTAGTCGTGGTGAACCCCGCCTCCTACCTGCAACAATAACAGCTGCTTCCATCCAACCCACTAGTTGCGGCCAATGCCGCTGCATACCTGCAACAACAGCTAATACAACAGATCCTACCAGCGCTCGATCAAGTAGCCGTGGTGAACCCTGCCGCCTACTTGCAATAGCAACAACTGCTTCCATTCAACCAATCGCTGTGGTAAACACCATTGCATACCGCAACAACAACACCGGCCGTCGATTAACCCACTCATAGATTCTTTTCGCTTTCCTACAAGAACAACAATTGTTGCCATTCAACCAGATATCTTTGATGAACCCTGCCTTGTCGTGGCAACAACCCATTGCTGGAGGTGCCATCTTCTAGATTACATATGAGATGTACTTGATAACAAAGCTCTCATACCGTCATGTGCTACTTACCGAGAATAATCAATATAGTTATTGAGATTTATCTGAGTCCAATTTCTTAACTGTGTTCTTCGTATATACAATTGAAAACATCAAACCATAATTAAAGACACATGCTTGGTTAATACATAGACAATACCATATTACTTCATCAATCCAAAAATGTGCCAGCCCGACCTCTTGAATGTTCTCATTTGGGTGTGCATGTGTGTTTATAAGATAGATGCGACGGTACGCGCTTGCAGTTGAGTACTTGGAATTTTTTTTATTTTTAACACATTTTTTTAACTAATTTTAAAACTAACAATGTTTAATTTTTTTTTTCAAATCTAACACTTTTGGTCACTTATTCATAGATTGTGCAAGATTGATTTAACGCCGCCATGCATGGGGGGGCGGGCGAGGCTGCCCACGTGGTAGCGGCATTGTGAGCCCCTAATCCGGTGACGCGGCCGTCTTGCCGCGCCACCGATCAGTGGCGCACGGTGACGCCGCCATGCATCATGTATGCGGTAGTGGCGCGCCACGTCGCCTGCATGGCGCTGCATAATATAGTCCCGCCTCCCTCTCTATTTTTGATCGCCAGGCACTGCACCGCCTCCGTGCCGCCTCGCTTCACGCCAAGACGCCCCAGCCCGCACCTGCCGCCATTGCCTCCCGGCTCCCCCACGGCCGGCCGCCGAATTTCCCTCCCTTGGCATTCCCCTCCATACCTTCCCCGAAGCTCCTCCTCGGCCTTGTCAAGGTAATGAAGCTCCTCCTCGGCCTCCACGGTGGATCGAATGATTTGAATGAGTAGGTAGGTATGGAGGAAAATATGAGTTCGTTAGAACGTTGGATTGAAGGATTAGGATTAGGATTGCCAATGTTAAGGTTAATTGGTTAGTTAGAATTATGATTACCATGTATTTTACTTGTTTGAGTTTGCATCTCTACTTTTATATGTGAATAAATATATGGACACACTGTTGATGTACCAAATTTTATTTTTTTACTGACTTAAAGTATAGTTTTATATAGTTTTCATGTTTACATCTAAGATAGAGTTTGCAACAAAGTGTAGGTTATATTTTATTTGTTGTAATGCAAATGGTTCTCATTGACATTAATTTGTGATGTTTTGATTTTTATTTGTTAAATTACAAACGTTTTGTTAGATGCAAGAAATGTATCGGAGGAGTTTTGGCTTAAAACGGGTCGTCCTCGAGAATTATACCCCCACGCGCCTAGCAAAGATGCCCTGAATGCCCTCCTAACTCCTCCCCCTGTCCCTAATCGTGGACTGTGGTTTCTCGGTCGACGTGTTTCAATCAAGACATCCAGATACACTGACGCATTGCTTTCTACACATACTGATTGTTTTAATGTAAGTAATTGTTTGCACTATCTTTTTCTTCATTTGTGTAAGTAGGCTACTAATATTTTGTTGGAATCTTGTTGTGTAAGACCATGAGAGGTGCCTTTTTTTTAGTGGATCGACGGTGCGTAGAAGTTTGACCCTAGGTACCTCCTTTTCTGGATTTATTGGTGTAGAGGAGACATCCACGTGAGCACTTCCAGCGTTGGGTTCCACCCCCTAACTCCCCCACCAATGACGGCTAAGGAGAAGCACCTAGCAGCTTAGATTAGACGACTCGAGGAACCTCCTCCGTATGTAATGTTGAGATCGAGCTATGATAAACCCCGAGAATACGTTGGAGTTTGTGTGTCCTAATAAACACAAAGTAAGTGGAAAGTGTATCTGCTTAAATGTTTATCTCTATAGGTGTGCGTACTAATGTATTCTCTTGTAGCGCTATGGATTTGCTAAGTGTCGTTTCAATGAGTGGCTCTAGGGTCCTAAGAATCAATGGTCTGAGCCACCAAAGGCAAAGGAAAAGAAGAAAGAAAAGTTAATTTACAAAGCACCTCCAATCAAGTGCTAATGTGGTGTTAAATCCAACCACGGTCT